TGTCATCTTTCAAGTGCACTTAAGGACTACCTTGTAAGAAATACTTCGTCTGAACTGAAGTAACATTTCTGGAGTTATTCTTTTTTGGAACCAAGCAGATTATTGTGACTAATTTATGCATGTAGGGAGAATTTCCCACTCCCAATTTCCTATCAATCAATTATATCACCTGTATTTTGTAGGTAGACATATTTAGAACTGCACAACAAACACTTTAATCTGTGTAGACTGAGATTAAAGTTCTTTCTGGAGAATTAGACTTGGTTTGGGGCTAGAAAGTGAAGCATACACCTCCAAAGACTTTGAATAATGATGATAATGTATTAGAAAATTAAATACTTTCTCCTCTCATTTCTGATGTGTCTAAATATTATGTCTTGTTTTACACAAAAACTTGTTTTAAAAGGTGGGGAAATGAAAGTAGATTTGTATTGGGAAACTTTACTTTCCTAATGCTAAGAATTTGGATATGATCAAACACTTGTAGGGTCCATAGGTGTATTTGCTTTAAGACTACCTTAAGAATCTGCTTCTCTGAGTTCCTTGTGAACATGTACAGTGTGGCAACACCTTCCTTATGATCTTTTAACCTCCCAAGCCTCCCACTGTCTTGTTAGTGTTACCTAGTTCATGTTTTCCTGTGAACCTTTGTGGTGAATATGGTTTGCAGACTGTGAAAGGTAGGAGGTCTTTGGCTTCTGAGCTTGTAACTGACAACAGCTCTGTGCTGATGAAAGTGCTTTGATATATTTAGTGTGAGCATAAGACTCCTGAAGTACCCTAGTGGAAAATTTCTTTAAAAAGATGTTTTCCTCTCATGTACAATTAAATAAAAATCAAGCTTCTAAAGCTACTTCTGATGTAGCTGGAAGTACAGAAGGATGTTTTGCAGTAGCTATGGTCTATTGTGTGCCTCTTGCTTTTTCTGCACCGTTTGCTTTGCAGGGATGGTGTTTTGCCAGTCAAAACTGTCATTCATTGACTTGAGGAGCCAATATTATATGAAGTTGAAACAAGTTTGTAGGCTTTTGGGACAACTGGACTTTATTGGTTCATGTGGAGCCTGAGCTGGCTCAGGAAAGGAGAGCAGGAAAAGAACTGTTGGGCAGAGAACTGCCAGGGCAAAACAACGCCAGCTGGATGCATTAACTTTCTCCTCTGCTGTTTGGATGGTAGGATGGTAAAGTAATAATAAGCTGTTCTGACAATTAGGGAAGACTTGAAGTGTCAGCAGTCTAGTTTATTTGACCTACTGATGGCTGCTGCTTGCTTTTTAACTCACTTCATATCGTAGCTATTAACAATACCAAGAGTAGGTAGGCTGTCAGAGCTGGGCTCTATTGACCTGTGTTGCAGGTGATTACAACCAGTTCCCTTTTGTATTTAGCGTACTGGTTTTTACATCCTCATTTCCTAGGCTGTTTAAACCTTCTTTAAAGAAGGTACAGAACCATTGCTGAGGGTCTGGGTGTGAGAGTTACCACTGTCTTAGTAGAAATAAAGGATCAGTAGAAGAAAAAAAACACTGAAGAGAGAACTGGGATAGGTAATGTTGGTCAGTCCTGCAGCTTTGTCAGAAATGTCAGTTACTATGTGTGTGTATGAATACACTGTTGTGCAGGACCATTCTTTCCAGTTTTCTATCATTTGGAAAAAAAACCAACAAACCAATTATAATCTTGCATAAAGAAAACACTCGGGGCCTCTTCTGGTTTCTGTGTTCAGTTTGTTAGAGTGTCAAAGCAAAATGATAGGGGATAGACAGAAGTTCAGTATGGACTGAAGGATGACTGGGGACTTAAGATGAGGAACTGAGTGTGTGGGGAGAGAGAATAGGGTCAAAGATAGAGTGGAGGACTTGTGGGTGAGGAGAATAAAGGAGAGAAGCAAGTGGGGAACAGAATAAAATGATGAGGGGAGCAGAATAATAATGGAAAAGGGCATGGAGGAAGGGGAAGACTCTACTTTTATGTCTTAGGATAAGCAAGGGGTGTTCTTGCATCTAGGAGGACATACCAGAGAAAAGGAGAAGTGACAGGTTGATTCTGCAGCCAAAATGCTGGTTGACTTCCCTAAAGCTCCTGGACCATAAGCGAGACCTAACTTGCTTTTTAAAACAGTTGAGTCTTGTTTTAAAGTGAGACTCAACTTAGGACTTTATGGATCTGACTGATTTTGATTACTCATTTGCAGTATTCTGTTTCGCCTTAGACTGCAGCCTCGAGAGATGTGAGCAGGGGTGGGAGTATTATGAAACAACGTAATTTGATTATTTGGGGTGGGGTGGAACGGTGGCAGCTTTGTTTTAACTTAGCAAATTATTTAAAAGCACAGACAGATGAAAAGGAGACAGATAATTGAGTTAAGAATGGCCACTATGTTTTTGATATTGATTTCTTTCTTCACTCTGTCTTTTAACCTTGTTTTCTTACAATTTTAGAAAAAACCATCTTGAGCCATACTGAACAAATAGAGGATATGGATAAATAGCTTCCTTTAAATAAGTGATTGAGCTACTCTTTTAATCTACCACTGTTTGTTTTTTTTTTTTTTACATTCTTTGATTTATCTTAATTAGCATTGAAATACAAACTCTTAGGGTATGAATTTTCTGCATTTTTAGCTTAAAATGATCAGATTTTACGTGCTTGTTATGTCATCTGTTTACAATACATTTAAGGCTAAAAGATTTATTTTTAGCTGGCTAAGTAAAATAGCTAGTTGCTAGAGTTGTTGTCATAGCAGCAATCTTAACAGATAGGCTGATCCTATTTAGCTTTTGCAGCCAAAGAGCGACCGTTAGGCAACAGTTTGACAGTTCTGCAGTATTTTTCTAAAGATGGAAATTGTGCTGGTGACAGTGAATTTATTTTTTTTTTGGTCCTCCTTTAAAATATTTCTTTCTGTAGGTGTGTGGAGTTTGATTTAACTCATCTATTTTCATCTAACAGAACTTAGGAGAACTTTGAATACACAACATGTGAGATTCAAGATTTAAGTCTTAATTTGTAGAAGCTTGAAAATAAATTACATGGTGCAGCATATTGCAAGCTTTGATTATTTTTTTTAACAGCCATAAGTATTCTGGAAGAAAAATGCCAGACTAGAGAACAGAATCATACATCATGTATTCATTACTAATTTTAAGTTGTGGCAGACTGGGCAAATATTACTGAAGAACTTTGGGGGTTATTATTGATTAAATACTCTGCCTGGGTTAGATGATAGCTTAGTATTTTAGTAATTCTGATTCTTATTTTTTTATTATGAAGGAAAAAAAGGTGCTTTCATATTAACAAACAAAGGGATAGTATTTTCAGATTAGTCTGTAAAATAAGATGCACCTCTGTAATGATCTCTGTAGGTGGGAGCTGTTACAGGAGTTCACTTGCTCTTTAGCCAACTCCATTCAGATACATGTTTTTGCCTGAGGTGAAAAGTGAATTTACTGTGAGGAATTTCTCCTGTCTGTATCTTCCAATCAGATAGTATTGGACATGATTTTTTTTCGATGTTGTTGAGCAAAAGACTTGTCCCTCAAACTCTCTTTAAGTCTCTTACCAGACGGAGTAATTTTTCAAAATACTTCTTGAAATACCTACGTTTAATGCTAAGAGAAAGTTTTGGGTGTTGTTGGCTTAAAGAGTGCTTCAGATGTGATTGAGAGTCAAAAAGTCTCCTTAACCTCCTAATTATCCCTTTTTTTTTTTTTTTTGATCTCCAGGCCTCCTTGTTAAAATGTATTGTTACAGGAACGCAAACCACTGTGTCAGGCTTGCATGCTTGTTAATTTCCAATGAATCATGGTAACTTCCATCACATACCTCCCCATTCTGGGTTGCTCCAGGGAATAGTCAGCACATCACTTTCCAAACTTGATTCAAAGCCACTCTGAGAGTGACAAAAGTGACTTCTGTAACTTTTTGACCGATACAGGCTTGAGGTTGTGGCACTGTTTTGTGGGCTGGTATAGAGAAATCTAATGAATGAATCTGTCAGAGTCTCCCAGCAGAGAAATGAAATGCCATATACCCACTAACATCTTAATGTTCAAGTTATATTGCAGCTTTTGAGAGGTTTGAGGAGCTCGGTGCTGTGGAACAGCAGAGCTCGTGCTATGGTTCCACCGCCCAAAAATTCCCCTTTCATCTCCCTGCTGGGCATCTGCTTTCCCTAAGCTCTGATGTTTATCTGAGTCTACTCCATCCCCCTAAACTTACTAACCTGACACAAGATGAGTTTTAGTCAAGCTTCCCCTTCCAGGTTAGCAAGCTGAACCAGTTAAGAAAGGGGCTGTTGAGCAGCAAAGCCCATTGCTTCAAGGTAGGGACTGTGGGTGGGGGGCGATTCTGAAGAACTGAGCAAGAACAGATGCACTGAGACCTTGCTCCCCTGGTCGTTGGCATCTGTGCTGCTGGAATGTTGAGCCTGTGTCATGCCAGTTGTAACACCCAAAGGTTTTGCACCAGTGATGAATGTTTGCCTGGTTCATAGCAAGCTGGATGGAGGAACTGATACAAGTTGATCTAAGGGGGGGTGGCAGGTTTATTTCACAAACATCTTTCTCCTGGTTTGCACATGCTGTACAGATCATTCTGCTGGTACATAGTTGGTGTGGGAACACAAATGCCCCAGTGGGATGAGAGAAGAGTAGGATGGTTTGTGTATTTTAGCATCAGTGCCTGCTTACACCCCCTTAAAGTGTTCATTAAACCACAGGCTGGGAGTTGTGAATGGGCTGTGTCACCTGCTTTTAGATGAGACCTGCTCCCTCTCAAGACTTGGAAATATATTGGACAAATGGAAGAGTTTTCTCCATTAATACATCTAATTGGTGGTTTTGTCATGTGGGGGCAGAACTGTTTCCCCTGTTGGTCTGCAGCCATCAAAAGGCCCTGAGGAAAAGGGAAAACTAGCACTTAGATCTACGCCCGTGTCGATGGACGTGGAGGTACGTTTCTGTCACTCACATTCTGTGTCTGTTTCTGTTTCAGGCAAAGTCGTGCATTTGTCATATGTGTGGTGCCCATCTGAACAGACTCCACTCTTGCCTCTATTGTGTCTTCTTCGGCTGTTTTACAAAGAAACATATTCACGAGCACGCAAAGACAAAGCGACACAATTTAGGTAAGCTGTCACCTCAGTACACTCACTGCTGCTTTTAACATGCTGTGTTATCCCTGTCAATTCCAGGCTGGTAAGGGGATCTGTTCTCACAACTGCCTCATTAGACAGGGAGATCAAGTTTTCTTGTGTTTTGGATTAGTTTAGTGGCATTATTTTAAACTTGGTGCTTAAGCTTCCATTGCATCACAGATAAGTTTTTGTTCACAACTTAGAATTTGAATTAGTATGTTTTGTATCTTAGTATTTATGAATTAATGTCACATAGAGGGAAAAATAATACAAATGTGTGTAGACAGAGTGTTTGATTTTTGGGGAGGTTTTTTTGCTAAGTGTGAAAAATGGTGAGTTTAGTGCCTTGAACTAAAATATTTATTTCCATGAACTTTTTTTTCAGGAGATTATGTTGCTTTTTTCTGTCTTGGCTTCTTGTTTCCAGTGGGGTCAATAACCTATGTATTGAAAATCCAGTTTAACTGATATGGAGTACCTTTCCCTCAAATGCTTCAAAACCACTATTAAAATGCCAGTGACTGTACAAGAGGAGATGAGCACACAGTGAAACTCAGGAGGTTCTGTCTGATACCAGGGAACACATTTTTACTTGGAGGACGACCGAGGATTAGAACAGGTTGCCCTGAGAGGTTGTGGAGTGTCTGTCCTGGGATATATTCAAAAGCTGTCTGGACATGGCCCTGGGCAACCTGCTCTAGATGCTCCTGCCTGAGCAGGAGGGTTGGACAAGGTGACCTCCAGAGGTCCCTGCCAACCTCTGCTGTTCTTTGAAAATTTGAAAAAACAAACCAGCAATTTTTTCCTTGCTTTTTACAGGGTGTAATCTCAAAGAGCTTTTGAAATCAATTCATTAGATGGAATTATTTGGGAATCTTTACCAACCCAGAAATGCAAATTACTTTAGGTAAACTCTGTCTAAGGAGTAATCACTGGAAAAGCGTATATATGTCTAAAAAACCCTTTTTTGCCAATATAAATTTATGGTCAGGTTTAAGGTTTAAAAAAGCACAGTGCTAAATTGAGACAGTAGACAGTATTTGCCTGTTTATCTGTGGATACTGTGTAAACACTGTAATATTTCTACCACTAAATTTACCATATTTGTGGAGAACCTTTTAAAAGAGCTTTATAATTGCACATGTTGTGAGCTGCTGTTTATCTACGTATTTGGGAAGCCTAAATTATTCAAGTTAATATTTGTGCAAGGTAGAATTTGCTGTTTTCTGCTGTAGTGAATTATCTTCTGTTTTCTTAAAGGAAAACTAAAACTGGACAGAGGAGGGAGCTTCTTTGAAGATGCACTCTTGATTAAAGACTGTTATAGTTATTGTCATGGTACTGGACTTAAAAAATTAAGAATCATAGAATGGTTTGGGTTGGAAGGGACCTTAAAGCTCATCCAGTTCCAACCCCCCTGCCATCAGCAGGGACACCTTCCACTAGACCAGGTTGCTCAAAGCCTCATCCAACCTGGCCTTCAACACTTCCAGGGAGGAGCAGCCACAGCTTCTCTGGCCAACCTGTTCCAGTGTCTGACCACCCTCACAGTGAAGAACTTCTTCCTAATATCTAATCTAAACCTCCCCTCTTTCAGCTTAAACCCATTTCCCCTTGTTCTGTCATTAACTGCCCTTATGAAAAGTCCCACCCCAGCTTTCTTGTAGCCCCTTCAGGTACTGGGAGGCCGCTATAAGATCTCCCTGGAGCCTTCTCTTCTCCAGGCTGAACAGCCCCAACTCTCTCAGCCTGTCTTCATAGGAGAGGTGCTCCAGCCCTCAGATCATCCTGGTGGCCCTTCTCTGGACTTGTTCTAACTGGTCCATGTGTCAGATAAGGTGCTTCCCAAAAGGAACAGCCTTTAGATAAAAAGGGCAAGAATTAATTATACAAGCCAAAATACAGAATACAGGATTGTATCATCCCAAAAAGGAATATTTTTTAGCTAAATATAATGCACTCTGTGCACAAATACACGTAATGTGAAGATTGTACAACTGAATGCTTGATTTCTGGTTTTGGAGATTCCTTTTTTGAATTTGGAGGTTTTTTTTTTTTTTTTTTAATGTATGTTTTGGAGCTTACTTTACAGCTGCATTTGAAATGAGCTGTAAAAATATTTTTGTAGTTTTGCTAGTGCTTCTGGTCGCTTTTAGTGCTACAATTTTTGTTGGGGAAATAACATCTGATAGGCAAAAACGAGTTAAGTGCTTTGAAATTCCAAAACGAACAGGAATTATTTTAAAACACTTGGTGACTTTTTGCTGAGCCAACATCAGTCTCCATGGAGACTAGCAGGAACTGCACACTTAATCACAGTTCTAAGAAATATCATAGATTTCAGCTGTAACAGCTGTCTGAGCACTGCAAGTGATGTTTTTGCAGCTAACTGCTGTATGTTTCAGGAGACTTCAGGATCATAGGCCAGAGTGTTCTTAAAATACATCCCTTGTTATCTCTGCTTCTCTGAGCAATATAAATTAGACACATTCTGACCTTATAGTGATACCTCTGCTTTTGCATCTGCTTGCCTACTCAGTGTGTATGAATAATACTGTACTTATTTCAGTATAGTCCTTGATTTGTGGATGTGGGTGATGGGTAGGTGAAGTAAGATCTGGCTATTAGATGAAATTTTTATTTTTTCTTTCTGTTACTCACTGGTTTGCACAGTCTCCATCAGTCCATCACCATGGTAGGCTGATGATTCCACTGGGTTGGGAATCATTAATGCAATGTAACAGCTGTGAAAAACCTTTAGAATGGGGTAGGTAAGACTGAACTTTCCAGAACTTGGAAGAGTTGGGAAAATTAAAACTAGCCTTTTCCTGTTCATTTCAGTGCTGTTTTCTTACTGTGTAGACATACCTCATCCCCTCCAAATACATGAAAATAGTCACCAGTTACAACCACCTTGGATATGTGCTGCAGGTCTGAAATCCAGCAGCCTAAGCAAAGTGATACCTTACTCTGTGGGCTTTGTTACTTCAGGAAATAGTTTCTACTGTTGCAGTAGAATTTTACTGCAGTAAAATTCTACCATTTTTAATAATATAGAATCCTTAATTTTTCCCTTTTTCCTCTTCTCCCAATTTCATAAACCTTGCTCTGCTTTTTTGAAGTGGTTGTACTGGCCGAAGCTGTATCATAAATATCCAGCCTTCTACCTGGTGCTAGTCAACAGAGGTAGCTTAGAGAATAAGAAGCAGTATAGTTATTAAGCATTTTTTCCCTTGTTCTACTCTGCCTTTTTCTCCTACTCAGCTTTTCAAAAACTTTCTGAACAGGAACTCCTTCCAGGTGCTTGTTTTCCAGTAGCTGCCAGTAGCCTGTCCGGTGTCTGGTTCCTTTCTGGCACCTGCAACATGCGAAGGCAGCGAGTTCCATGGTTTTTCTGAGCCATGTGAAAAATGCATGTGTCTTTCTGGGTTGCTTTATAATGGATCTTGTCACTTTGCTCTGTATTTCTTTTGTGAGGAATTGAGAAATGGAGAGTAAAAAGTCCTGATTTGATACTGTCAGATATTTCCTTTTCCCAGCCTGTAGGATCCTGGACTGTTTTTAGCTTTTCTTGAAACTGTTGTATGATTCTCAATATCCTCATCATATTTGGGTTTTTTTTAAGCTTAATGTGTCCATTTATGGTGACAACTCTTTGAATTATTACAGTTTCCTGATGACTTGTATTCTTAGTAAATACTTGGATTACTTCTATTTTGTGTTTCTTATTATGGTGCTCAACACTGAGCTGATGTTATTCAGGAGTTATACTCAGTGACTCCAAAACTACTTTTCTGAGCAGTGACTGTTACTCACCTGCTACCTTATTGATAGTGATTAGTTTCACTCTTGGTGATATTGGTGGTTTGCTCAGTATTGTGAAATCTTTCTGGAGCTTTTTGCAGACTTCAGATTTGATTATTCTAAATGAATGTGTGTCATTAGCATATTCTGTCATCTTCCTATGTAATCTTTACAAATCAGGTTCCAGCACCTGGGGAATCAGCTGGTGGTTTCTGTCCTTGTGAAAGCTGCTGGTGCCTTCCTTATCTGTTCTACAGCTGCCCAATGAAGGAAAATATGTAGTAACTTAGTCCCAGAGTAGCAGGAACAGGAAGATGACTGTGAACAGTAGCTCTAAAAGAAAAGAGAGGTTAGTGCTGTAGAGAGAGTTCATCTTGAAACTGTAGTAGTGATTCTTTTATCAGTTTCCTGATTGGGACTGAAAATCTTAGGCAGGCACCAAATGAAGTTTTAATATTTTCTCTTGAGTGAATGTTTTCAGTTTCTGTTACATAATGATTAAAACTTTTTTGAGGGGAATATCATATGAGAAAACAAAATTGATGGTTTTGAGAGTGGAGTATTTATGTAAGCTTGCTTGGCATATTTCCTCCACATATATATATATTATATATATAAAAAAATATATAAAAAGCAAGTTTTTTAATATATATGCACACACACACACACACACACTTTACTTAGCTGCAGCAGCATAGTTAAGAAAAATCCCTGGTATGAGGCTTAGAAAAGTCTGTTACAGATAACCATGAGTTAGATCAGTTCAATTATGATATCAAAGCTCTGTGTAGTTCTATTAAAACTCCCTGGTAAGGAGCCAACTCATGCATTTCCATGCTATGCTCCTATCTGTTAGGGATGCACTCTTAACCCATGAATACTATCTCTGAAACAGCCCATAACACAGTTTCTGCAGTTTTTGATAGAAGTCTTGGTCTGCTCCAAGGCTCTGTTCTGGAGTTAAAGAATCGAGGTAGGTGACATAGCAGGACTGGGGTTCGGTGGTTAAAAGACTGAACAAGAAACAGTTGGAAGACTGAAGTACCATTCAATTTCTAAGATGACTGGCAAACAGTTGATTTCAGAATTAGTCCTGTTAGAGTAAATTCATTATTTATTAGGTCACAGGCTGTTTGTTGAAGAACTGTTTTTTCTAAGTACGTGCTGGTGTAAGGTTCAGTCCATTA